AATAACATTTTTAACGATTTCAAAATTTGGCGGCACACTAACAATAAAACAAGTTTCAGAAATTTTATTTATCTGTAATATACACTATGTAAAATAGTTTATGATAAAAAAATTTCAATGTTATATATATATATAAAATATGTATGACAAAGACAACAAAATGCTAATTGAGTAATTAATTACGAATTAATTTTATTGGAACACATTTAATGCGAACTTCTATCTTGGTGATTTGTGATGATTTCGATTACATTTAGTCTTAAAAATGACAATGCAACTCTCATTTCATCATCTACATTTAAAAGAATCGGTTTTTTTTATTTTTATTTTTGTTAATGCTGAAAATCCGTGAAAATTGAATGATTTAATCTGAGCTTTAAATCACACTCAAATAAGATGTAGAAAATTGCAACAATACCCTTAACCATTTTTTTTTTTTGCTATTATGAAATAATTACCTTTAATTTTAACCCGAAATGAATTAATTGCCTCTTCCGAATGTTTTGAAATTAAATCTCGATTATTACACAGCGAAATTAAAATGTCCTATTCATTCTTTTATACATACAGTCGAATCTCTATATAACGAACCTCTATATTGCGAATTTTCTATACAGTGAACTTTTTCCTGGAACCAAGAACATTTCTCGATTTTCTTCATCAAATAACCTCCCAATAGCGAAGTGCATTTTCTATGTAACGAATTTTTTCTTTTGTGATTCAATTTTTGTTCTCCCTTTTTTTTTAAAAAAATAAATTTTTCTCTCCTTAAACACATTTTATGGTGGTCATAAATCTTGAACTGGTTTTATTAGATCCTAACTCGCCAAGAGCAATAGAGTTCTGGACGTTTCATCCAAGAAGTGCAACCTTTAACCCCCATTGCCCAGTTCACTAGAAACATCTTCGGTATCCTCTTTCACCCTCAGTCCCTGTGTTTTAACTATAAAATAATGTATGTTTAATATTACTTGTAGGCTTTAAATTATAAAATATCCTTAAAATTCATTAATTTTAGTTTAAAATTATTTTCTTAGTATTAAAAATACAATGAATTCTTCGACATTCTTTTTTCTTGTTTTCCTCGTGGTTTTTCTTTCTTTTTTGATGGGTGAGATATATAAAAAAAACATATATTAATTTTAAAAAAAGGTGTGAATAATTACTTTTTTTAATATATAGTGTTAATGAATTTAAAATTTGGTTTACGTGGTTTATAAAGTATAGTAAAAGATGAACCTCTATGTAACGAATTTTCCATATAACGAACCTTTTTTCGGGATTTAGCGACTTCGTTATATAGAGGTCCGACTGTAGATGTATTCGTTATCACAAATAGATTACGAACCCAATTTTTTTATGCATCCATCCACGAAAGGATAAGTTAAATATCATACGAATGCCTGAAGTTTTATTTCTATAAAGCTGTCAAATGATTCGATTCCGGATTCTATTTTTTCCCCTCAAAGTATAATTAATAACTTTTTAAAATTTTGGTGACCCTCAGAAGTGAGGCGGCACAGTGGTAGAAAATCACTGATATAGAGAGTAGCAAAACTTAATATAACAATTATTTCTGTTCAAATCAACCTATTAGTTAATGTATTTCAAATTCCTTCTTCAATATCATAACGTAAATGCATTTTCAACTTAATATATCAAAATGAAAAGCCACAATCTTATACAACCTTTTTGAGATACAGAGTGATAAATAGATGAAATTACATATATGTTTATGTACTACGCTCTTTCAAATTAGAAAATGGTTTTATATAAAATAAGTAAATAAATAAGGTCACATAAAATCTATTTGACGAATCTACAATTTTGTTTTTTGGTTGGGATCAAGAGCAATAAGTAAATAGTGCAATTTTTCAATTCCTACAATTAGTTCACTCTCCCTATATACCGGGTGATCAAAAAGTCAGTATAAATTTGAAAAATTAATAAATCACGGAATAATGTAGATAGAGAGGTAAAAATTGACACACATGCTTGGAATGACATGGGGTTTTATTAGAACAAAAAAAAAAAAAAAAAAAAAAATAAAGTTCACAAAATGTCCGACAGATGGCGCTTGCTTCATCTGATAAGAAAAGCAATAATTAGCATAACAAATTAAGACAAAGCAAAGATGATGTTCTTTACAGGAAATGCTCAATATGTTCACCATCGTTCCTCAACAATAGCTGCAGTCTAGGAATAATGTTGTGAACAGCACTGTAAAGCATGTCCGGAGTTATGGAGAGGCATTGGAGTCGGATGTTGTCTTTCAGCATCCCTGGAGATGTCGGTCGATCTCGATACACTTGCGACTTCAGGTAACCCCGAAGCCAATAATCGCACGGACTGAGATCTGGGGACCTGGGAGGCCAAGCATGATGAAAGTGGCGGCTGAGCTCACGATCATCACCAAACGACCTGCGCAAGAGATCTTTCACGCGTCTAGCAATATGGGGTGGAGCGCCATCCTGCATAAAAATCGTACGTTCCAGCAGGTGTTTATCAGCCAGGCTGGGGATGATGCGATTCTGTAACATATCGGCGTACCGCTCACCCGTCACGGTAGCAGTTACAAAACCAGAATCACGCATTTCCTCGAAGAAAAAAGGCCCGATAACGGTAGATGTGGTAAATCCAACCCATACCGTGACTTTCTCGTCGTGCAATGGAGTTTCCACGACAGTTTTAGGATTTTCAGTAGCCCAAATTCTGCAGTTGTGGGTGTTGACAGACCCTCGGAGCGTAAAATGAGCTTCGTCGGTTCACAACAAGTTACTCAACCAATCGTCATCTTCTGCCATCTTTTGAAACGCCCACACTGCAAATGCCCTCCGATTCACGGAATCGCCAGGTAACAATTCATGATGCCGATGGATTTTTTACGGATAGTATCGGAGGGTACGCCTAAGTGCCAACCAAACAGTAGTGTATGGAATGCCGGTGCGACGTGCGACTGCACGGGCGCTGACTTCCCCGTGCATAGACGAACCCGCTACAGTCTAAATTTCATCCTTAACCGTCTCAGCAGCATTCCGCCGTGTGCTCGGTCGGCCACTACGGGATCTATCGTCTAAACAACCCGTCGCTTTGAACTTCGAAATCATTCTCGCCACAGCTGCATTTGTCAACGGACCTTTACCCCTTCGTATGGCGATAGGAACGTAACGCTGCACTAGCACATTCCCCATTCTGATAATACAACTTCACTAACAGTGCCTTTTCAGGTTTAGCTGGGATATATACATCTAGAGCATTTAGCCCGCTAGGGCTTTGATCTCTTATCTGGTGAATTTGAATAAACATGATAATTTGATTACATTGCCCTTTTTATTTTAGAGGTTTTTAAGAATTTAGATATAATAAAAAAGAAGTTAAAAAAAATTAAAGTTAAGAGTAAAAAGATTTCATAATTTTTAAGTTTTAAATATCTGAATAAATAGTTAAAGAATTACTTTTACTGTATTGAGAAAAATGCATTAGGGTGAATTTCCTTCGGCCAATGGGGGCCTCAGGATGGCTGATCGCCTGTCCAATGGGGAGGCAGCTTTTCATATTTGCGTTGGGTGTGAGACTTGAGTATGATTGCTCTCTCCCGCGTTGCGAGAGGGAGCTTCCTGATTGATCGTTGTGTTAATGTGGTGGCTTCGGTCCCAGTGATGGTACCGTCGCCGTGTACGGGATCGGAGGCTTCCAGAGTCCGTACTGGTCAATGGGGCTCTCCGATTGGTAGTTGGGTTTCATGGTGTTTGACTGTGAATTTTTGTGTTCATGCGATTTGTGAAATAATTGGTATTGAAGTTAAAATGTTTTGGAAAAGTGGTGTTTTTAATAAAAAGATGGGAATTTTGGGTGATCAAAATAATTAATTAATTAGTATGTTTCTGGGTCTGTGTGTGAGTCTCGATGGAGTGTATTTCTCGATCTTTTGGATCGAGATATTGTCTGAATGATCTATTTTGTGTTTTGAAACTAATGGCTTTCCTGAGAGCAGAATTTCTCATGTACCATTCGGCACGTAGAATCTGTCTCAGGGTTTTGTTTTGTAGTACTTCGAGTTTTTGTATGTGTGTTTTAGCTGCGAAACTCCACACTGGAGAGGCATAGGTTATGATTGGTCTTAAAAGTAGAGAATAAATAAGTAATTTATTTGATCTACTTAGTTTAGATCTCTTACTAATTAGGTGGGATAACGTGTGAGCTTTCTTGATGAAGTTCTCACGTATGCGTGTTATATGTTGTTTAAAAGTGTGAGTTTGTTATCTAACGTAACACCAAGATATTTGGTGTTCTGAGACCAAGGAATTTTTTCATTATGTAGGAAAATGTCTGGGTATGTTAGGCGTGTTTTTCTAGTGAAGAAGACTGCTTCCGTTTTTGCCACATTAAGGGCAATTTTCCATTTGGAGAACCAGTCCTCTGAAACTAGAAGGTGTCTGTTGATTGCTCTGGCCACGAGGTCTGCCTTTTCAGGTAACGTCAACATGCTGCGACTGCTGGTGCAACTGATTCTCTCTCTCTCATGACAGCCTTTTTTCTACGCGATTTTCATGCGCAGTCACTGACGTTTTGTTGTCCAGCGCAATCTGTCGGACATTTTGTGAACTTTATTATTTTTTTTTTGTTCTAATAAAACCCCATGTCATTCCAAGCATGTGTGTCAATTTTTACCTCTCTATCTACATTATTCCGTGATTTATTAATTTTTCAAATTTATACTGACTTTTTGATCACCCGGTATATATATATATATATATATATATATATATATATATATATATATATATATCTTGTTCAAATTTTCAATTGTTAATAAAATACTTTCTATTTATCCGTTGAAGTTCAAATACATTTTTTTAAACCTGTAGTGGATGACACTTGATGTTCATAGAATTTTTTTCAAGCATTAATTCATAATTTAAATTTAAAATATGAATAAATAGTAACAAACAAAAATAATAGTTCGACAGCCATATATGGAAAGGAAAATTGTTCGTTGTGTCCTTGTAGCACAATGGACTGTGAATTGGATTTCTAATCCAAATGTCGTGGGTTCAAATCCCACCTGGGATGGCCTAAGTTCTGAGAATGTGATTTCTTTTCCACTATACTATTTTATTAAAAGAATTCAATTTAATTAATGAATAAATAGTAACAAACAAACAAAATATTCCAACACTATATATAGAAAGAAAATAGAAGTTTGCAAGGAGAAAATGGCTTTCTATTTTATCACTTAATATTTTGATTCTGTCATATGTATAGGCATATTTATATTAATGGAAACAATTTAATAAAAAGTAACTGTATCTATATAAAATAAAATTTTCTTTGTTGACCTAAGTAGAGGTATTGACTTAATTTATTTTTATATTACTTGTTATTAATATTATCGGTTACTAAAAGAAAAATTGTCAACACTGTTCTTGAATGAAATACAGTGCTTCTTAGTTATCGCCACAGACGCCCTTTCAATCCATTCACCATCCATATTTCTTTCTCTCTTGGCAGAAATCGTTGTTTTGCACGGTCAGAGTTACAGCGTAAATAATTCCTACGAAAACATTGCCCAATTGACCGACTGACCCTCAGTTTTTGAAGCAGTTTGCAGGTGACCAAGTTGATATCCCGCAGTTTAAATTGGCAAAACTGCGAGTTGAATTGGGTTGAAAAGTATTTCGTTGTTCCAAATATCTGAATGGGAATCTGTACCGAGAATTAATTGCTTAAATTGCTTGGGTTTTTTTTGGTTCTTCGTTTTTCAAAAATGTTTGTTTATTTATTTTTTAAAATGTAGTGGGTGTTATGTAATTTTGATAAATGTTAGTTTTCTGTCTATGCCTCCCAGCAAATACAAAATATGACCGTGAAATATTTTCCCTTTGTGAAATGTTTACCCTCTTAAAAGGGAAAAAAACGAAGGGGGATAAATAAGATCTACATATATTGGAAAAAACATTTTATATAAACGCATTTAATCTTATAAATATATATTATTAATAGAAATCTTATTAGTAACAATATCGTAAAATAATTGATTTGTTTAACGAATATAAATTTTGCGAATGTACGTTACATTTAACACATTTTTAATATAAGTTTTTATTAATCACCAACTATAAAGACGCTAGTTAGTAAGTTAATATCTTTATTAGGGATTTAGAGCACACACACACACAACAAAGGTTATTATCCCAAACTAAAGACGTTATTCATAACATAAACAATTGTTGGGACAGTAGTTGTTCACTTCTTTCTTAGTCAGACTAAAGAAAATCAATTAAAAAACGAGTAAAATATTTTGTTTTATTTCTAATGGGCTGCGGATTGGTGTTTAACCATCAGAGTAAAATATAATAAATGAAATAATAAAAGAATAGAAATTATAAATTGAAAAATAATTATTATTAATTTTAAGATGTATTTCATAATTTTAAAACTAGGCATTAATAATTTACTATTTTTTTATTTTATGTTAACAAACTATTTCTTATTTTAATATTTTTTTATAATTGTAAACATTATTTTGTTGCTTACTTTTAAAATTATATTTACTAATATTCAAAATTATACTTGTAAATCTGGAAACAATTTTTTTGAAACTCTTTTTGCTTTTCCAGATTGGCAACAGTCCGAATATTGACATTAGCTAAATTACAACGTTTTTATTGTGGCTGTTAAGCCTAAAGAATAAAAAGTGATTAATTATTATGCGATTTTACTATTCTTAAGTGATGAAGGACCAATACAAATAATTAATCTTAAAAGGTTTTTATTTCCTTATTAAAAATTCGTATTTTGAAAACGTAATAAAAAAGTGAGTTTTCTTTTATCATTCTTTATGAATAATTATTCGGTTTATTGTAGCATATACATGGTGTGTAGTTGTACTCGTTTATGCGAAATGCATGATTCATTTGCAGTACTTTTTCCCATTGTATTTCCTGTGCTCATTAAATATTTAATGTCTTAATTAATAATACATTTCGATTAGTCACCATTTCCGCAAAACTACATTAAGATTACATCAACCTTAATGAAAAATAAGCTTCAAGATAATAGACAAAAAAAGGAAAAGGGGAAAAAAGTGTTGCTTTAATTTCTACCCGACAAGTGTAATTTTCAAGCATCTGAACCTTGTTAATGAGATTGCTTTAAAAAAATATATATATGAATTTGAGATGGAATGCTTTTTAGCCTACACATTGTTAAATTATTTATCAAATTTTTGTTTTATTTATTTATTAATCAATTGATAAATATTTCTTAATTATCGTAATGAACTGTATTATCAAAAATCATTTTGTAAATTTTCTCGATAGATAATTCAAAATGAGATAATAAACAAAGCGAACTTTTTGAAATATTTTAGGTACTTACGTATTATCGCAACCTATTGGCGACATTCATGAAACGAAGCGCGTGGTTGCCAAATCAGCGCGTACGACACATAGGAAATCGAGATTGCTAACTTGACGAGTTGTTAATAGAGTTGGCGATTGTTGCGATAATACGTAAGTACCATATTTTATTAAGAAAGAAAGCTATGCAGTTCAAAAGCAGCTACGAATTAGTAATGTACTAAGTAAACAATAAAAGAAATAATGTCATGAGAATTTTATTATTCCTTGTTGTTCCCTTTTTTAGCCATAAAATTTGTACGCATTTTTAAAATTCTATCTCTTTAAAATTCAGCTATCTTGTTTAATTAGGTAATTGATATGAAAATATTTTACTTAATTAACATATAATGTTAATAACCCAAAAATGAATAAAGGTACTTACGTATTATACCGTTGACCAATTTCATCAAACAAAAGACGTCGCCAAATACCGCGAAATACAGACAATAGAGGAAATCGTCTCCACGCATATTCGAACCCCCCGAAAAAAAAAAAATTGTAACGATGACAGCATTTGGTGACACTTTTAGAATTGGCGATGTCTTTTCGTTTGGCGAAATTGGGAGACGGTATGATACGTAAGTGTGCATCACTAAAAATTACATAATAAACCACAAAAGAGTTAAAAATAATCTAATAAACAAAAATGGAGTACAAAGATATTCTAAGAACAAAACAAAATTATAAAGTCCACGATCTCATTGTAAGGATTATCTTTTTGTTTATACAATGCAATGTTTTTCATGAATAAATTAAAATTTCAATGTATATATATCAATATCTGTTATAAGAATAAATAAATATTCAAACAAAAAAATTCAGAAATAGTGAAATAAATCCAATAACTCAATTTTGAAAAGAATAATTTAATTGTGAGTTCTTAGTATAGGTTTTTCGAATAATGAGAATTTTATAACACAGCACAATATGCACATAAAAGAAAAATACGTGTTTATAGAACTAAATCTCCCTGAGCAACACAAAGAAAAATCGATAATCAATAACAAAGTAAAAATAATCATAACCAGAAAGCTAACATGTGTGTGTGTGTGTGGTTGTCCAAATTCATTATCTCCAAGTCACCTAAAGTAAATTTTATCGCTGTTCAAAATAAAAAGTTCGGGACCTTTTTTATATCGGAAAAGCGCATTAAAGTATTTGGTATTTTTCTGTTAGCACAAGAAAAAAGCCGTCGCCAAGAATAAGAATGTGAAATGACGAGTCCAAAAAGGCAAGATAAAGGCAAAAAATAATAAGTTCAAAATATTTATTGATAAAATGATTTTATCAGGCCTATTTTAATAAAAATACTAAAAAATGGCGAAATTCAATCTAAAGAGAGAAGAGGTATAAAATTCCAAATATCTTTCAGAATTGCTGAAATCATTTCAATTTCAGGATTAATGACTTAGTACTAGAAATGAGGTAAATTCATGATGAACATAATGACAAAAGTAATAAAGTGTTTTCTATTGAATTTAAAACTGACAGAGTCGACAAAACTGACTAGTCTTCGACTTAGGCACAATAAGAGTTGTTGTACTTAAATTTCATATACAATTATAAATTTAATAATTGGGTAAACATGATCAATTTTTAAGATCCTTCTAAAAGTTTTTTCTTAAACAAAATTTTTTATACTCTTAAATAATTTTTATTAAATTTTTTAATATTTTAAAAATTTTATCAACACGTTTAAATTAAAAAAATATTTATGATTTTTAGTAAATTTTATGTAATTTATAACTGGTTCCTTTATATACAAGGGGATTTGTAATTTTGTCAACTAAATAGTAATGTTAATGCATATATTTATACTAATGGCATATATTTATGCTATAAAGGCGCAAGAGTATCATAACTTAAAAGAGATATAAGAGATCAATTTGTATTTATGTGTAAGATATATACATTCAGGATAAAACTATAAATACAGCTGAAAGTAGTCTTTTATCACTTCCGCAAGGTGTATTTTGACTGTGTTTAGTTAATATTTAACTAATCAATAAACTTTTGATTAATTCATCTTCTACGAACGAGTACAGGAAGTCTGGTGTAAAGTAACTTAAGATCGATTTTGCATTCTGTGTGTATTTTGTTTATAACTTTAGTAAGTTTTTAACAAATTACAGCAGATTTTGTTTTAACAGATTCTAAAGAGCTTGGTACCATTTAAAAGAAAAAAAAGTTTATTCAACAAAATGATTTAATTAAAATTAATCCAATACAAAAGAACAAAGTTACTCCTTTCTTTTCAAAAACAGTCTTTAAATTAATTTTTATTAAGTTTAAAAGAAAGATAGAGATTGAAGTTATAATGTTGTACATTATCTAGAGAAAAAGAGAATAAATCTAACAATATAGTTGTTGGATAAAATTTTCTATAATTCATCTACGACTTGAGTGAATAGCCTTTGCAATAAATTTTCTTTCATAAAACTGGATAACGTAATTAGATTTATTTTGAAAATTTGGAATAATAGATACATAAAAGTGATTTAAATGGGATATTAAAATGTCAAGTTATTTAAATTTAATCACAAAAACACAATTTCATTTCGAAGGATTTCATAATGGATGGAATAATTAAGGGACTGCCACCAGAGGAGCTAGGCAGTAACAATCTGGCAAATATTTATCTTCATTTCCTTGAAATTGAAAATTTAGACA